TTGGGGAGGAGATAGGTGATTAAAGATAGGGAGAGGAAATGGAAAACTTTTAGATTCCAAAAAAGGTAACTTTTCCTCCCTTCAGTCTTGTCCGTCTTTTTAGTGTACCATAATACACATAATAATTTTACAGGCAAACAGTCTTAGACATAACATTTATGAAACTTAGTGCTTTTGGTCTTACTGTGATTTTAGATTTGGAATAGAACTTTTTTTTTTAAACGATACTTCTATTCCTTCTTTAACCCCCCCATCCCTCTCTTCAGAATTTTTTCATTGTCTAGACTCTCATGGAAACTCAGCAAAGGTTTTCTGTTTTAAGATATGCTCAACTCTCACATGTTTGCAGAAAGTCTCCCACAAAGGGACATGTCACAGAGATAATTAGCAATTTAGGTCTGTGTATTTTTGCATATGCAAAGTACTAGCTTGGGAGTATTAGGAGACCCACTAATGATACTAGAGGTACTAAACTTTAGAAATGAAATTCAAGTCCAGGAAGATTTTAGGCTAAATTTTAAGTTGTTCTAGTTGGTTATTTCCAAGTAGTATCAGTTCGTTGCTTCTGAGGGGATATCCAGTCCACTTCACTGTGTTAGGTTATGACTTTTCCCTGGATTTTTGCACTTTTCCTTAAATAGACTAATGATGGAGTTTTTAATGACATAGGCTCTCTTTTATAATTTAGTAGTAGGCTCTCATTTTCTCTATGCTCATATAACCAGACTTCACATTTTTGCCTTTTAAAACACATTTAGATTATTGAGATGGAAGAATAAAATCCCTTCACCTGTCATTGAACTCCCTGGTTACATCAGTCAAGATTGACAGCCTGACATTTGCACGTTCCACGTGGGCTTTTTTGCTTAACTATACTTTGCTCTTTCTTTTGACAAATCAAATGCTGTGACTCTAGCATTTCTGTTTTCTAATCCAGTGTTTAAGCTGTTTGTTCCCTTCTGATACTCCCAGTGCGGGGTGTGCCACTCTTTCGAGGCGTCCTGCATCCTCTGGTGGTACCCACAGGGCTTTATGGGAACACAGGGCAGGGCACCTAAGGGATTCAGGGAGGTTTTCTAGGAGGGATGGGGTGTGTGTGTGTGTGATGTGTGTGTGTGTGATGGTGTGTGTGTGAGAGAGAGATGGGGTGTGTGTGTGTGTGTGAGAGAGAGAGAGATGGTGTGTGTGTGTGATGGTGTGTGTGTGAGAGAGAGATGGGGGGGTGTGTGTGTGAGAGAGATGGTGTGTGGTGTGTGTGTGTGTGTGTGTGTGTGCACCTAAGGGATTCAGGAAGGTTTTCTAGGAGGGATGGGGTGTGTGTGTGTGTGTGTGTGTGTGTGTGTGTGTGTGATGGTGTGTGTGTGAGAGAGAGATGGGGTGTGTGTGTGTGAGAGAGAGAGAGAGATGGTGTGTGTGTGTGATGGTGTGTGTGTGAGAGAGAGATGGGGTGTGTGTGTGTGTGTGTGAGAGAGAGAGAGATGGTGTGTGTGTGTGATGGTGTGTGTGTGAGAGAGAGATGGGGGGGGTGTGTGTGTGAGAGAGATGGTGTGTGGTGTGTGTGTGTGTGTGTGTGTGTGCGCACCTAAGGGATTCAGGAAGGTTTTCTAGGAGGGATGGGGTGTGTGTGTGTGTGTGTGTGTGTGATGGTGCGTGTGTGTGTGTGTGTGTGTGATGGTGCGTGTGTGTGAGAGATTGTGTGTGTGTGAGAGAGAGAGGGTGTGTGTGTGTGATGGTGTGTGTGTGTGAGAGATGGTGTGTGTGTGTGTGATGGTGCGTGTGAGAGAGAGAGATGGTGTGTGTATGTGTGAGAGAGATGGTGTGTGTGTGTGTGATGGTGTGTGTGTGAGAGAGATGGGGTGTGTGTGTGTGAGAGAGATGGGGTGTGTGTGTGTGTGAGAGAGATGGTGTGTGTGTGTGTGTGTGTGTGTGATGGTGTGTGTGTGTGTGAGAGAGATGGTGTGTGTGTGTGTGTGTGTGTGAGAGATGGGGTGTGTGTGTGTGTGTGAGAGATTGTGTGTGTGTGTGAGAGATGGGGTGTGTGTGTGGTGTGTGTGTGTGTGCGTGCGTGCGTGCGCTGTGTCCGGCTCCACGACCCCATGGACTGTAGCCCGCCAGGCTCCTCTGTCCATGGGATTCTCCAGGCAGGAATAGTGGGGTGGGTTGCCATTCCCTTCTCAGGGGATCTTCCCAACCCAGGGATCGAATCCACGTCTTCTACCTGTGTCTCCTGCGTTGGCAGGTGGATTCTTTACCACTGAGCCACCAGGGAAAGCCCCAATATCTTATCCTCTGATCATTTTTAATGATTTGGGTTCTTACTGTGGGAACAGACTGATTGTTCCTACCCTCACATAATCAAGCTTTGAATTACTGCCCTTAGAAAAAGAATATTCAAGGCAAAGAAAACTGAGACAGCCAACTAGGGGCGAAGAGGAAACCATGAATGTAAATTCACAGACATGTGGTTAAAGTGAGATTGAGGGAAGGTTAGGGCCTTCTGTTGCAGCGGACCCTGGATTTTAGTCCTAGACTGTGTTTCTGATTAAGAACTTTTAAACAACTGCTTACAGATAGTGTGCTATGAATAACTTTTAATTCTCCTTTTTAATTTCACTCTAACAGCTGCATTTTTGTATTTCCATAATTGTTTTTATCATCACTTTGTAACCCTTTTCTAAAATGGAGTGACTTGTGATTAATTTCTGTTCTTTCTTTTCCCACAAGCATGTTGAATTTAATTATACCAAGATAATTCTTGACCTGCTTAAAGAGAATCCCCCCTCCCCCTATGTAATAACATTTCCACCTTGTAGGTTTTTAAAAAAATTGCAGCCTTATCCATCATAGAATGAATTTTAAAACATTACAACCTTTGACTTAGTAAAAATTACTGTAAGGAGTACACATCCTTTCATACACTGAGCAGTACTCTCGTTATAGTTGTGATTCTGATTAAAATAGAGATGGAGTTAGGAGTCATGCATTTTTGGTGAATAATAAAAGCATAGCAGCCAGTGGACTTTCTGAAAACCTGATTCATTTTTAAAGAAATCCTTGAACTAGAAAATCTGACTTGGTTGTTAACCGACCTCACACAGTTACTCCTTGGTCGGGTGCTTCCCTGCAGGAAGGGGCGTGTGGTCGGCTCCAGCGCGCATGAACACGGACCAGACTGGCCGGTCGCTCAGCCAGCCCCTGCTGGGGTCGCTGTCCCCTTGCCGTCTCCTCACTGGGGCTCGGTGCACTCTGTCCCGGGCGCCCCTTGCCGTCTCCTCACTGGGGCTCGGTGCACTCTGTCCCGGGCGCCCCTTGCCGTCTCCTCACTGGCAGCCTGTCTCTGCTTCCTCTTGTAATAGGGTGGCAGAGAGCTCCTTCACTGCTGTCTCTACAGGGCATCACATGGGCCAGGGTCTCTGATGAAACGGAAAGAGGAGTTACCTGCTATTTTAGTTGTACATTTTGGGTGGTGATGTCTGGATATTGGACAGAAGACACAGTTTCTACCTTTCTCCATTAGATGCAGACAGGTGTCAGCCATTGCTGGACAGACTAGAACATTCAGACCTGTGCCGCAACATAACTGCCTTTCCTTACTTTCTGTTTTAACGTCATTCTGTATCTTTAGCTCATTTGTTTACCTCGTTACGTAACTTCTTTTTTTTCAAAGTTCCCTGTATTGTGATCTGAGCTTGAGTGAAGTGAAACCTTTGAGGTAAGGCAACCCTAATGGTGAAAATGGAAAGAAGTCCTGTGAAATTTGGGAGCCTTCAGAGATAGTTTTAGAGTCGCTGCCTAAATATTGAAATGCCACCGTTTGTTGTTTGGAGGGATGTGGAGCTAAATTGAGAATGAGAGTACCACATCTGCCTTGACTGCTAAGTATATCTATCTCTGCTGCTCACCCATAATAGAATTTTTATGTGCGCATTCATTAATCTTGGTTTTAGGAACAGTTTAAAAGAGGGCAGACTGAAGAGACTTAGTCTACATTCCTCTCTCCTTTAAGTGTTTGGTTTTTTTTCATTATTATCACTGTGGTGGCTTTTGTTTGTTTTTCTTTTGTTTTTTGTTTCTCTGCTACTGCTAAGTCACTTCATACTGAATAAACAGTGTTTCTTAGTACTCTGTCAAGAGACAGAATATACTATTTTTATTTTTTGTCTTTTAAATTTTCTGGCAAATTAAGATTCAGACTTACTAAAGTTGTTTTGCCTTGTGCTCCCTAAATGAATGCCACTGCAACAGCAATTTTTAAAGCCCTTCACTGCGATAAAGACCATCAAGAAAGCAAAGTTGGTCCCATGCAGGTGGTAATATAAGAGCAATATGTTTCTGGTGGCCGGTTCTTCAGCCACCTTGCCTCTGGCCTGCTTCTAATGGATGGTCTGAACCATTCCTCCTTAAATAACTCTTCTGAGGTTAGTTTGAAACCCAAACAGTGCGTTCATTGCTGTCTTTGGCACATGGAAAATAAGTTCAGACCAAGGCTAACAACCCAGTTCTTTCTAAAAACATTTTCCGACTACATGACGTGAACCTCGCCCCCCCCCGCCCCTTTCTTTTGCTCCAGCTAGTTTCCCGCTTTGGGGGGTTCCTCAGAAACTGATCAGCAGGGAGGAGTTTGGAAGATGTGAAGCGAGTTTGTGTTTCTTCTGCTCTGTCAGCCGCTGCTGTCCTCATGGGTCTGACACTCTATTTATCTGACAGTGCACTTAGTACTGCTTCGCCAGGGAAAATCGCACAGAACCAGCCCGGCATCAGCACTTCCATTGTGTGCAGGGCTGAGCCGCCCTCCACAGCACACGTCCCGGGCTAATCCCGCGCCCCCTGCCCCTTCCCCAGCCCCGCCTGCTTCTGTGGCACTCACCGCCGGCCTCCCTGAGCTCCTGTTTCCACTTTGTGTCTTTTGTGGGGCCCAGGAAGCCAAAGCTGTGTGTATTTGTGGATCAGACAAGTGCAGCAAGTTAATATCATTGGCTTCTGAAGGGGAGAGTGAGGTGATGGCTGCGTTTAAGTTGGATTTCCTTCCAGAAATGATGGTGGATCATTGCTCTTTGAATTCCAGTCCCGTGTAAGTATTCTTGTTGTCTAATTTTTATCATAAGTAGAGCACTTTGGCTGTTTTTTTCTTTGTTACTTGTTAAAATGAGTCCCTTTCCTTAAAAGAGGGAAGAAAAAAAATTGGGTGAGGAAGCCAGAGTCCACACTAGTTGTTTTCTATTGCAGTCTGATTCTCTGTCATTACTGCTGACTTCCTGTAGCTGTGACTAAGTTTTGTACATAAGGATGCATTTGATACATGACCAGCTCAACATCAGCTCAAGTGTGCTGGGCTCTGACCCCTTCAGCGTAGTGTTCCTGTCTGATAGATTCTAAGGTATTTTTTTAAACCTTAGGGTTGGGTATACACCTTCAGATAATCTTTCAGGAAGCTATTTATTTATTTGTATGTTTTATTTCTAATGATCAAATTTTTAAGACTCATATCACAAACTTACATAGCTACGGTGTATTTAGCAGTGTATACACAACACTGTATTGATGTATAAACTAACCCTGAACCTTGACCCTCCCTGTCCCCCCAACTAATTGAAAATTCAACACAATATGTGATTTTGGGGGACATCAGATGTGCCCCACCCCAAGGGGGGCAAACTGAATTAATCTTGATTGGCAAATTGCCTAAATTAATTTTGAACGTAAAAAGTGAGAAGCCTAATCAATTTGTGTTATTGTTCACCGTTTTATGCAACTAAAATGCCAATCTGGCTCTGAGTTGTACCTGTAGGGAGCCTGAATTCTGGGCTATGTATTAAAGAACATACTTCTAACCCTTGATTTCAGTTACTTTAACCAGGCTTCAGAGTACCTTGGAACCTAAGTGAAAGAGACTTAAGTCATTCAGAACCAAGAATAGGAAATGGTAGAATATAGAATACTCCCTAGATCACAGGGGTAGTGCAAGTCTTTGACATTAGGCCTCCGTGTGCAGATCAGTTTGCCTTGGGATTCGGTGTAACAAGTGTGGTGATGGCAGATTCTCAATGGTTCTTTGTGGAATAGTTTTGGGGGCCTCAAACAGAGTTGGCTTGCTCATTTGAAATGGATCCTGTACCTTCTCTGTAGTCTCCAAAATAATGGTAATTTAGAAGTGTCTTTTTATAAGAGTTCTCTTTACTGCTAAAATAAAACCTTAGCAGTAGATTATAGGTGAAATCACAGTGAATGCCATCATAAAAAATTATAATAAAAATATTCCCACATACTGGATAGATGATCCCTAGAATTAGGCCTGAATTGTCTTTTCATTGTAACACTCTCTGTCTATGCATTACCATTGCCTAGTGGTTCGGTACAATATTTTTCCTCAGCCTGTTTTCTCATCTTTTACTAGGTCGGCCTAATTCAGTAGCCCATGAAATTTGGATCATGGACCACTATGTAAAAGTCACCTGGACTTAAAAATTCAGGTTCTGCACACATGCCCAGATAATTCTCATGCTAGAATGGGCTCAAGGATCTATTTTAATAGTATCCCATGTGGTTCTTATATACACTGAAGTATGAAAACTAATGGAATAAGTACAGTGCTCATTCTGAGTAGAAGTAATCAGAGTACTCTATTACATTACTATTTTTTTCCAAGAGCATTTGCTTTTGTTTTAATCATCCATCTTCACAAAAAGTTTGCGAGGTTAATTGGGCATAGGCTATTGCCCCTGTTTTACAGTTGAGAAACCCAGCTGAGAGAGGCTGACTGACTTGACTGAGGACAGTTAGTATCAACCTTGGGCTTAAAGTGCAAGTTTGCCGGTCGCCTCTTTATTTTCTGCCTGCTGGAGTTGGCTTCCTCAGGCATCATTAAGCAGTTACCATCAGCTCTTCTCACGCCTGCAAGTCCTCTGGCCCCCTCCCAGGGGCGCCACACACCCAAGCCAGAGTGGGAAGAAAGTTATAGAGGATGGTGGGTGCTTGTCACCTCTTGGATTCTCTCTCTCTCTTTTTTGTATTTATTTATTTGACTGGACCAGGTCTTAGTTGTGGCACGCAGGATCTTCAGGCTTTGATGCAGCATGTGAATCTTCAGTTGCAGCATGTGGGCTCTAGTTCCTGGGTCAGGGATCGAACCCAGGCCCCCTGCATAGGAACCTTGGAGTCTTAGCCACTAGACCAGCAGGGAAGTCCCACCTCTTGGATTCTCAACCCTTCTTTTCACTCATATTGCTCTAGCAGAAGACTTGATATCACTAGTTTTCTCTCTGAAGTGATACTGCCTGGGAATACGACCTAGCAGTGTATCTTTTCCAAAATTTCAAATTACAGCAACAAAAATCGCTGGAGGAGCTGTGTAAGGGCTGAGGGGCCCGCTCCCTAGCTCCCTTTCTTGTTTGTGGTGACAGGCGCTGCAGAGACTTACTCTCTCTAATACAGCAACAGGGGACGCTGACGAACACTTGGCGTGGGCCCTGGGACAGAGGTGTTCTCTAGGCTGGGGTCATATCTCAGCCCTGACCTCTCAGCTTCTCTGTTGTTTCAGGGGGCACTGATGTGTTTCTCTGATCTTTATGACGGTACCCTGGATGCCCCTTGAGTTCTGTGTGCCTAGTCTCGTTCCCCTAGAGAGCAGCTGGTAAGTAACTCAGGCCAGTGTTTCTGGGTCCTCTCCATCCTGATGTTTTGTGCACATGGTGAGCCGGAGGACCAGGTCGGAGCCGGTGGTGTCTGGAGATTGGGATGTAGCCAGGTGTTCATGCCTGCTGGGGAGGTAGAGGGATTAGTAAGTATGTGAAAGTTTTCTGTTTGTATAGTGAACAAATGGAGGTCAACAGGTAATAAGGGGAGAGGGAAAAAACTGAGTAATTAAAGATTTTGGAAATGATTTTTGAACAGTTGTGAAGGTAGTATTTGCCAGCTTGTTTGGCTACAAGGAACAGATTCCACTTAAGCTAGTATATATGAAAGGCTTTTCCTGTAAGGACACAGTGGGCTGGACTATAATATAATCAGGAACTCTACCGCTCAATGACTCGAAAACTCCAGCTTTTTGACCCAGGGCACACATTCAGCTGTCTGCATGTGCTTCTGCTGTTCACCTACTGGATAGCTTTGGTTGCAGCGTGACTTGGCTTTGCCATTGCCCTTCCAGGATGTCTTGACACCGCCCTCCCCTCCCCCCCCCCCCGCATATAATTAACACAACACAAAGTTTACCCTTTCAAAGCGCAGTATCCATGATTTTTTAATTTTAAAACAAATTTTAAAATTTGTTTTTTACTATATCCATAAAGTTCTGTGATTATTACCACTAATAACAGCATTTTCATCACCTCCAAAAGAAATCCTGTCCTCTTTAGTGATCATTCCCTCCCTTTCTCCCCACCTCTAATTCCCATTCCCAGGCAACCACTAACCTACTTTCTGTCTCCATGGGCTTGCCTTGTAGTTTTCACAGATGTAGAATCACACAATATGTCACTTTTTGTGATTGACTTCTTTTATTACCTTAATGTTTTCAAGCTTCAGCTGTATTGTAGCATGACTCCCGTTACCTCTTGCCACTACCCGTTCATCTCAGCTTAGCTCAAGCTATCCTGAGTTGCAGCTTTTCCTCTTGCACCTTCATCACCGACTGCCTGTTTCTGTCGGTGGGTTCTAGGTTCTGTAGAGCAGTCCTGGGCAGGAGAACTTCCCGTGATATTAGAAATGTTCTTCTGAGTAGTCCCTGCTGATCCAGTACTTAGGACTCCAGGCTTTCACTCCTGCGACCCTGGGTTCAGCCCCTGGTCAGGGAACTAAAATCCTGCAAGCCGCATGGCATGTCCCCCAAAAAACTTAAAAAAAAAGTCTTCTGTCTCTGATATCATGTGTAGTCGACACTAGTCATATGTGGCTAGTGCAAATTGAGAAACTGGATTTTTATTTATTTATTTTTTTTCCTTTTAAAATTTATTTATTTTTAATTGGAGGATGACTGCTTTACAATGTCCTGCTGGTTTCTGCTGTACATCAACACTAATCAGTCCCCAGTGTACATACGTCCCCTTCCTCCTGAACCTTCCTCCCACCTCCCACCCCACCCCACCCCTCTGGGTCGTCACAGAGCACCAGGTTGAGCTCCCTGCGTTATGCAGCAACTTCCCACTAGCTATCTATTTTACATATACATGTATGCATGTTAAGTCACTTCAGTCGTGTCCGACTCTGTGCGACCCCATGGACAGCAGCCCACCAGGCTCCCCTGTCCACAGGATTCCCCAGGCAAGAATACTGGAGTGGGTTGCCATTTCCTTCTCCAGAGAAACTGGATTTTTAAATTTAAATAGTAACATGTGGCTAGTGGCTGTTGTCTTACAGGGCAGCTATAGAAGGTCTTGATTAAGCATAGGTCACAGTCTTAGGTTTCTAGACAGCCAATGCATCATCTTGTTAAGATCCATCTCCTGGTCTAGTCATGGGGGCCAAGGGATGGAAAAAAAAGTAGAGTAGAACATTAACTCTGCCCTCTGAGCTGGGCCTGGAGCTGGGAAGTTTTGATAGGAAAAGGTGAAGACAGGGGTGAAGAGTTTTGAGTGGAAGTGTACTTTGACGATATAACTCTTCATTTCCCTGCCCCGTCTCTTCCAAATTGGTTGTTCCCCTGTCCTGTTGCGGGTTCCATCGGGAGTCAGGTAGACAACACAGCCTCTTGTCCTGACCCCTCCTAGTTTCTGATTCTTCAGGACTTCGCCAGTTGCTGCCAGAGCCAGAAACACAGAAAGAAGCGGGTACCATGCCTCTTTGCTGGAGCACTGGCTGCCTTCTCGCCTCCCTTCCCTGCTGCGGGTCTGCCTTTCCTCTCTCCCACCCCGCTCCCCGGGCAGCACCCCACTGACGGGTAGCACTGTTCCTCAGAAGATGAGGAGTCCCCACGGGCCCGCCTCTTAGGACTGACAGCGATGGCATGAGCACTTCTCCAGGGGGTCTGTTTCCTCACTGATTCCTGAATGAATGTAAGGAGTATGTTTGATTTAGAATCACTGACTCTGAGGAGCTCTCCGTCAGTGGGCAGATGAGACACAGTTTGAGGACGTATTTAGTGGCGGGCAGAGGAAATGCCGTACGTGGATACTGTGGGACCCTTGGCGTGTCACACTGGTAGTCTTGTCCCCAGGTGACTTTTTTATGTAGTGGTTTCTTCTTGAGGACAAGGTGCATACTAGAAGTATGTGTGGAAGGTTGAGAACAGAAGAGCGTTGTTGAGCATGTCTTCAGACACAGTAACAGTTGATGAGGAAGTTTGTGATTGCTTACTACATACACATGTGGTTGCTTTTCTCTTTTTTTTCTCCAGCTGATATTGGCACTTTAATTTCTAATTGTATCTTCTTGTGCTCCAAAGAAAGACCCCATGTTTTCCTTATTTACTGATGCATACCACATCTTGAGCTTCCCTTGTAGCTCAGTCGGTAAAGAATCTGCCTGCAGTGCAGGAGACCTGGGTTCGATCCCTGGGTGGGAAAGATGCCCTGAAGAAGGAAATGGCAACCCACTCCAGTGTTCTTGCCTGGAGAATCCCATGGACGGAGGAGTCTGGTAGGTTCCCAGTCCATGGGGTTGCAAGAGTCGGCCATGACGTAGCGACTGAAGCACCACTGCCATACCACATCTAACACAGTGCTTGCGCTGTATAAAGAAGAGCTCAGTAGTAATTGGAGAAAGAAATCAGTCAGTGAGTACTCCAGTTGAAGGATGTCCACTGCATCTTGAGTGCGGCCTAATCATTTGCTGTGCTCTAGAAGTGCTTCTCAAACTGGTGAAGGACCATGTCCCATCCCTCCCTCCACCCAGCCTGTAAAATACAATAAGATAATGTCATAGAAAAACAAAATAATGAGGTAAAGGCTTGCATTTTGCATATCTTTTTAATATTCAGTTAGCCATATGTAAAATTGTGGAGTGTGATTCCTGTGAAAGTTTCTAATGGTTAAGTTCAAAGATTGCTCCAGTTCTTGGGGGAGTCTTCTGGTTCTTGAATAGGTACACTCGGGGGACAGGGTGATTCAGGCAGTAGGTGGACATGAAGAAGTGAGAGGGACTTGGAGAGTAAAGAGAAAAAGGAAAGGCACTTGTCTGGAATGCTGAGTCTCCACTGAACTTTTGGGTAAAGCACAAATCATATAAATTGACGACATTTATACTTTTGCGCTAAAAAGCAATGTAGAGAATTTGGAAGTGGTACATGAATACAGAAGGAAGGGACAAACTGAGAGTGGTTGCCTCCAGGGAATACAAACTGGTGAGTGCCTGCCTCTTCAGAAATAGCTGTCTGCTGCTTTATAGTCAAAACATTCTAAGCGCCATTCATTTGGGTGCTATGTTAACCCTCCCTGGAATAGAAATATGATTAAAAACTAGCGCCATTTTAATAAAATATTAAAACTGGTAATTAAAGTTGTGGAGCACGGATGGTAGGAAGTGATACCCATTTTTTCACTAGCCATAGGACTTTTAAAAAAATTTGTGATAAAATGATTTCTGTTAGATCATTGGGGTTAGGCGTTTAGAAGTAGCTATGTTATATTTTTGCAGCAACTTGCCAAATGTGGTTTTAAATTAATAAGGGAAAACCAATGAAACAGTGTATTTCAAAATGCTTAAAAGGGGGGAGGGGAAGTAGGTTGATCCTGTGACAGTCAAATCCTCACAGGAGAGAATACCTGCTCTTTAATCTGTGAGCCCTTTGTGCACAGCATTGATTTTTATCAAGTTTAGTTGCTTAAATAGGGGAATTGTTCAGAACAAGAAATTCTTCCCACCCCGCATCTGGGTAATTACTTTGAACCAGGCACCAGTACCAGGTGTGACTATAAGAATACGAAATGAAGTGATGTCTTCCCTCAAGGAGCTCTCAGTCTTGTTGGGAGAGGTAGGTGGAGCCAGAGCTTGCTAAAAGGTGTTCAGTCCTGTAATCAAGTTGGAAATTTAGTGTTGTTTGAGTCTTGATGGAACTGACCAGTTAACCTGGGGAAGAGTATGGGGAACCTTCATAGACAAAGCAACAAGGATTGGTTTATATGATGTTTGTCTTACAGTTTTTGATGTTTAGTACCTAGACATGAAAATAGCCCTGTATTCAGTTACAAGAGATGTAGGAACTAGAGGATGAACTACTAGATTCAGCATTCTCAATGATTTTCAAATACTAGTCAAAAGGTAGCAGTGGTGACAAAACTTACTGTTTTTCTTTTAAAGAAAAGTGGTGTTTTATTTGGGGTTGAACATTAGAATACGTGAAAGAAAGAAAGACATATTTGAACATAATGATGTAATTTCTGGATTTAGCAAACACTGAAAAAAGTTAAACATGCTAACTATTTGAAATTGAAGTTGTTACTAGTTTGGATAAATTCTCAGAATAAGATTGTGAAAAGGTGGTAGAAGGACTTTGATTCATTCTGAGTGGAAACATTTAATAGTGTAGGAGTTTCCCCCATGGTTCTTGACAGACAGACAGAACCCAGGGGAGTGCACTGCCTGACAGAAGGAAGGCCCTTAAGTAGGAGTATTACACATTTGGTGTGATCAAACTGGAGGAATTTGTGGACACTGTAACAGTTAAGAGTTGGTAAGGGAATTAACTGGTAAAATCTTGGAGAAATAGCAGCAAATCGGATTCCTTAGAAACAGAAGACCCTAGAATGATGACATCATTGTTTATATAACAATCATTTGTGAAAGTTTAAGAGGTTTTATTTTGTTTTGATTGGAGGACCTCACTCAAGAGTACCAGGATTATGCGTGAGACAGCATCAACCAAAGATTAATGTTCTAGTCAGTTCTTAGGCCTTGGAAGTCCTGTGCTTCTGTTCTGACATCTGCTGAGAGAAAACTTTTCACCCGTCATCGTGTAGATTGAGAATCCTGAAACCTACCCATAAGCAGTAGTCTTCTGTGATTTTGTGGACATTCTATAAAGTTTTATTAGCTCTACTTAAAAATGATTAAAGCTTTCTTGAGGAACTTTACCTCTTAAGTTCTTCTGATACTTCTCTAGTTAGACAATTCATTTACTTAGATAAAGCCCAGGGTGTCCTAATCAGAATGATGCCTTTAGTTTGGGATCAGACGGAAGGGGTGGCATAGTGAGGGAGGGCTGGGGAACTCTGGTAAGTAGAATATGAGTAGTGAAAAGAGGTAGGTTTTTTTCCCCTTACTTCTTCAGGAAGTAATTGAGACTTTTAAAGAAAAGAAGATTCTTTTGGAAACAACATGAATACATAATAGAAGTTTTATTTTACGCAGCTCAAAGAAAATGAACGGCACCCTGGACCACCCAGATCAACCGGATCTTGATGCTATCAAGATGTTTGTGGGCCAGGTTCCAAGGACCTGGTCTGAGAAGGACTTGAGGGAACTGTTTGAACAGTATGGTGCTGTCTATGAAATCAATGTCCTAAGGGATAGGAGCCAAAACCCTCCACAGAGCAAAGGTAAGGAAGGGCTTTGAATTTATGTGTATTTGCAGTCACGCACATGCTCTGTCTCATTGCCAGGATGCTCTTGTGGTCATGGCGGTGGTGTTGGGGGGGATATGACTGTCTTTTTGTTGCAGCTATATCTCCCAGTCCAAACATGTTTAATTACTTAACAATAAAATAAAATCCTCATGAGTGACATCACAAGGATAATTTGTAAGTTGGATCTTGGGCAGTCATTTTCAAGATCTGTAAATTCAAGAGACAGACTCATGTGAGTGTCTCATTTGATCTTAGTAATGGAATGACAGAAATAAAGTTGAAGTAAACCAACCATGTAGGTTGTTTTTTAGTATTTTAGCTAGGGTGAGTGAAGAGAGAGGCTGTCTAGGCACTCGTGGTTTTTGTTGGTGTTCCAGAGGCCTTCTGGGGTGGCTTAGCAACTGGGAGGGGTTTGTAGATCACCTGTTTGTTATAGCCCCAAAGTGACCGGGGGGAGGAAGGCAACTTGCCTCCAGAAACACCCAGCAGAGGAGAGGGCTTATAGGACTGATAGTAGATGAGGCGTTAGCTTTGCCCCTAGACACACGCAGATACACACTTGTTTTCCCCAATAACCCATTTCAGAGTAATTTTCTGTGAAAGCTTTTCTATAGTACAGATGTAAGCAAGCATGATTGTCATGATTGAAACCAGCTTAATAGCAGAAGGTCTAGAGCTGAGGAATTATTTTCTCTTTGTGGCATAGTTAACCAAAAATAAAAGGTATTATAGTTTCTGAAGATGACTGTCAATGTAATATACAGTAATTTGAAATTTTAATTGCAGGGTGATTTTAAAAGAAATCTATACCATATCTTACGGGACTATGGGCCTAAGATTTACAAAACACACTTACGCCCTCCAGTCCCCAGCAGAGGCAGAGTGCAGTCTCAGGGTCTTCTCAATCAAGTGCTGTTGGACGTGTAATTGCATTTGATGAGAACCAGGAGTCCAAAAAATAGATACTAAGAGATCCTTGCTCTGAAGTCATTTTATCATTTAATAAATGATAATTATGTTTAGGGCATATGGTAGAAACTGGCTGCAGTGTAAGGCTTGTTCTGAGAAAGCGAGAGCTGTAGACTACAGGCTGTAAGAGTGCGCGGCTGAGTCTCCTTGCCCAGCCTGCTCCTCCGTGCTCCAGGGAGTGTGGGGGCCTGCTCCTCCGTGCTCCAGGGAGGGTGGGTTGGATGGCATGGTTCTGTGACCTTTGTAAGGAGGGTCATCTTTCTCAGAGAAGTTACAGGAGCAGCTAAAGAAGAATTTTAATAAAACCAGGTGACGATAGCAATAAAGAAAATGGTAGAAAATCTTTTTTTTTCTTCCTTGTTAGATTTTCTCCATCTCCCTCCCTCCCCTCTTCCCACCCCCCCCCACCCATTTGAATAAACCCAGCCCTGGCTTTTGACTTTCAGTGTATCCCGGGAAGAGGGAGTGCTCTTGGAAATTATCTGCTTTCAAAGGACTGGTTTGATTTCATTAAGTATTGTTTATTGCAGGGTGCTGTTTTGTTACATTTTACACCCGAAAAGCTGCATTAGAAGCTCAGAACGCTCTTCACAACATGAAGGTCCTCCCAGGGGTAAGAAACTCCTACTAGTAAGTGGAACCGTGGTGGCTTTGACGCATGGAACACACGGGGGGAAGTGGTGACTGCCACAGGAATTGATGTAAAGGAGGAATAAAGGGAATATTTCAAAGAATATAGATTGAAAGTACTTCTCAGCCAAGAGAATTTTGACTTGTTGACTCACATTCTATTTTGAGATTCTGTTGAGAGATAATGAGGCAGGCGTGAGTTCAGAGACAGTTCTTCCTTTCTTGGGTGCGTCATTGCAGCGCACGGACTCTGGTTATGGCGCATGGGGTTAGTTGCTGCCAGCCATGTGGGCTCTTAGTTCCCTGATCAGCAGGCAGACCCATGTCCCTGCATCGCAAGGGGGATTCTTAGCCACTGGGTCACCGGGGAGGTCCCCAGAGACACCTCTTAAAGCTCAGTTTTGGTATTTCCTTTAGAGGCCTCATTTATGTTTCTGAATTCCCTCAGTGTGTGTAATCATAATATTCACGTGTCTTCCGTTTTAGATGCATCATCCTATACAGATGAAGCCTGCCGACAGCGAGAAGAACAATGGTAAGCAAGCACGTGAGCAAGTCCTCCCCTTAAAAGGTTTCTTCTGGAGTATTTGCTGTTCTCATGGCATTTGGATTGTATTGTGCACTAATTATAATTAATCTTTTGTTGAGGTATAATTGACATATAATATGTTAGTTGTACAACATGATGATTCAGTATCTGTGTATTTTGTCAAATGACACTGCAATAAGTCTAGTTATCTGTCACCATACATAGTTAAAACAATTATTTCTCTTGTGATGAGAACTTTAAAGATCTACTTTCTTGACAACATTGAAACGTACAAGGCAGTATTAACTATAGTCACCATACATCCTTGTGACCTATTTTAAAACTGGAAGTTTATATATAATAAGTTTATTAATGCTTTTTGACCTCCTTTACCCTTTTTGCCTCCCTCCTTTCCCCTTGTCCCTGACAAGCACCAGTCTGTTCTCTAGGAGCTCAATTGTTTTTTTGTTTGAAATATCCATGTTTAAATGAGAGCAATACAGTATTTATTTTTCTCTGACTTAATTCACTTAACATAATGCCTTCAGGGTCCATTCATGTTGTCACGTATGTCCAGATTTCATTTTTCATGGCTGAATAATAATCATGTATGTGTAGAATACCCCTTTTTCTGTATCCCTTCATCTGTTGATGGATACTTAGGTTGCTTCTGTACCTTTGCTGTATAAACATGGGTGAACATAGATCTTTTCAAGTAAGTGTTTTCATGTTCATCAGATAAATATCCAGGAGTGGAACTGCTGGATAATTTGGTAGTACTGATTTTAATTTTTTGAAGAACTTCTGTACTGTTTTGCACAGTGGCTGCACCATATAGATCCTTCCAACAGTGCACAGGGGTTCCCTTTTCTCCACATCCTCACCAACACTTGTTCTTTTTGATAATACCCATTCAAACATATGAGATAATATCTCGTGGTTTTGATTTTCCTTTCCCTGATGATTAGTGATATTGAGCACCTTTTATGTCTCTGTTGACCCTGCATTGGAAGTATGGAGTCTTAACCACTGGACCACCAGGGAAGCTGCCCATTTTTAAATCAAGTTGTTTTTCTTTTACTGTTGACTTCTTTAAGTTCTTTGTACATTTTACATATTAACTCCTTATCAGATACATGATTTGCAAATACAGTAGATTGCCTCTTTATTTTGTTGATGGCTTTTCGGTTTTTTTGCTGTGCAAATCTTTTTCATTTGATGTAACACCACTTGTTTATTTTTTGCTTTTGTTGCTTTGCTTTTGGTGTCAAATCCAAAAACAGTCATTACCAAGACTCATGTAAAGGAGTTTACCAAGCCCAACTCACCTAGGCATTTCATGGTTTCAGTTTATCTAGTACTTACTCAGAATTAACGCATTTTGAGTTAAGTTTTGTGTCTGGTGTAAGATAGAGGTTCAGTGCTGTAAGTAATCTGTCATCTGAATTGTTCTTTAAAATAAGCATGGTAAATAAATGAGATAAATAGAGTTGACGGGGAAACATTACAAGAACATCTGAGAGTGAACTGGAATGCCTTTGAACTGCATAGTTTCTTATCAACCAGAGTAAGGAGGGGAACTGAGGAAATTCCCTCCCTAAAAAATTAGGAAGGAAAACTCAGTCCTCAAGAAGATAACCCGAGTATGAAAGTGGACAGTTACATTCACTGAATGTGTATTGTGTTTCTTTTGTCATGTCAGGTAAGTGTGAAAACTCATCCTTCGATACAGCAGTATTACTAGTGAGAGCAGACTTTGCGAAGTATGAGGCAAGATGCTGAGTTCTTGGTATTTAATACCTACAGCAACCTCTGAGGTAAACTGTTTCCTCTGTTAATCACATGAGGAAACGGGCGCAGAATGGTTAAGTAACTTTCATAAGATCATGAAGCTACTATATTTCATCTCAGCGCTCCCAATTATGGTTTAAGAGTAGGTGCTAAATTATGGGGGGAAATGCATCTTAAAATGAGTACAGTAGGTCACGAGGCACAGGGCTCTGTGCTGCACTGCCGCCTGTAGTAATGGTCCAGCATTTGTTCCTCACTCTCTCAGCAGTGGAAGACAGGAAGCTGTTTATCGGCATGATCTCCAAGAAATGCACCGAGAACGACATCCGAGTCATGTTCTCCTCGTTCGGGCAGATTGAGGAGTGCCGGATACTGAGGGGGCCTGACGGGCTGAGCCGAGGTACCTTTAAAAGCACTCAGCTTAAATTTGGAGTCTCTCTTTATTTGAATCAGTGGAAACCAGTGATCTCTAGCCACCATGGATGATACTGTCAAGATGGAGAGGGTTGAGTATGGTGTTGTGTTTCTAGGTCCCGTCATGATTCCTGTCAACTGATCCCAATCGCCCCAAGGAATCTGCATTTTGCACCTAAGTGTCATGCATTAAAATTCTATTTCTGTCCTTGGAAAGATTCTATGCCAAAATGGAAACACGCCTTTCACGGGAGAAACTAGAGAATGTGATTCCTCCTTTATCTCTCAAGCACTTTGTCTCCTATTTGTGCTTCCCTGATTTCTCACTGAAGCATGTATCACCTTGTTGTAACACATCATCTTCCCAACCAGATCATGAATTCCTAAAGGCAGGAATCATGTCTGTATTGTTAGCACGGTACTTGGGCACATGGTGGGTGCTCAATAAATGTCAGTCAGATAAATCATTGAATGAATGGACGAGTTATTGACTCTTCTCTTACCAGGTTGTGCATTTGTGACTTTTACAACAAGAGCCATGGCACAGACAGCTATCAAGGCAATGCATCAAGCACAGACCATGGAGGTAGGGGCAGATGAACGAAAGGGACGCTCCCTTAGCCTGAGCATGCTAGGACCATGGAGCACCAGAGCCGGGCAGCGTGCATAGTGTCTGATCGCCCTAAAAGTCGCTGTTTGCTTAGTCACTTCAGTCGTGTCCGACACTTTGCAACCCCATGGACTGTAGCCCACCAGGCTTCTTTGTCCATGAGATTTTTCAGCCAAGAATACTGGAGTGGGTTGCTGTTACTTCCTCCAGGGGATCTTCCCAACCCAGGGATCAAACCTGGGTCTCTTAGTTCTCCTGCATTGGCAGGTGGGTTCTTTACCACTAATGCCACCTGGGAAGCCCTAAAAGTTAAACCAAACATCTAAAACACTGGTGCTTTCTTTAAAATTAGCATATTGCAACTGGTTAACCCTTTTAAGTTACCTTTTGCCACTTGTGTCTATCAAAGAGGAGAATCATTTGGCACTGAATAAAATGAGAATGCGGCCTATGTGGCACTGGAAAGGAGGGTTTCCCTCCGCCCAGAATGAGGAATTTGACCCTTTGATTTTGGTGTTCTCGTAGGGTTGCTCCTCCCCCATGGTGGTAAAATTTGCTGATACACAGAAGGACAAAGAACAGAAGAGAATGGCCCAGCAGCTCCAGCAGCAGATGCAGCAAATCAGCGCGGCATCTGTGTGGGGAAACCTTGCTGGTCTAAATACTCTTGGACCCCAGTATTTAGCAGTGAGTCTTTGTGGTTTGCTTTCTGCAGGCTGTGCAAGCTCCCAGCTGTTTCTTCTTCTGCTGTCCCTAGCTAACATATATAATGGCACTCACAACTTTTAGCATATCCAAGTTTTACATAAAAATTCAGGCAACACGATATTCTTTGTCACATTAGTCTCGTGTGTGCACTGGCTCACTCTCTCTTGTCACACATCATTGGTTGTATCTTGAGCTTCTGCTCCAATTAGAGTGAAATCCTAATTTCCTAATACAAAGATTTAGAAACATGTGTCCCTGCCCCCAAGAAATAAAATTATTGGGGAAGTCTTAGCTACCAAGTATTTCTCTCCATCTGTGTCTAGTAGATGTCGAGGCCATCAATAAAATCCTTCCTGAGCCTTCCAAGAAGAGTATAACAATATATTTTCCCATCGACGGAGAGCTCGAGAGATTAACATGGACATTATTAAATGAGTTTTACAGGTGTCTATTTGAGTTCACTAAATAGTAAATAGATTTCCTTTAATTTGAATTCTCTCTTGTCAAGTTTGAGTCATGTAATCCAAAAGCAGGCTCTAATTTGTTAGATTTATTAGGTCTGCAGTGTATATTACAGGGGATTATCACTGCTTCAGCCCTCAAAAGAACCACAGGTGGCACAAGACGCTTACAACCGTCTCGTCTTTGAATCAGAAAGAACAAGTCATCTGTGAAGCTACCAAAGAAGGAAAATAAATGGTGAAAAAAAAAAGAAAATAAATGGTGAAACCACTAGTAGCTTAGTATGGATAGTCTAAAAATATACACACAGAAGTATAGTCATTCATTCCTCATCCTTTAAAATATTATTTTATATGGAAACAGAAGAAAGGCGGTGATTTCTATCCCTCAGTACTGGGTTTTGGCTAATTTGATGCCCTCTGGTTTCCATATTTCTAACATGTTAGAAGAAATTCAAGTTTATCCTTGCTGGTATTTCTCTGAAATCAGAAGACCTAGATGGTTGTTATATCTCTGCAGATTAAATTTTTCCTTGGTGCTAGAACATTGCTTAAAAGTTGAGAAAATTCAGAGATTTTAGTCTTCTCCCAGAATGATAATGCTTTGAAAATTATCTCCATGATGTGTGCTTGCTTTCCTTAGAGAGTTTGGAGCCTTCTTTTTGTTGTCACTGCCACATCTAGCAGGCACATGATGGTATATGTTGAGAGCTGTGGCCTCTTTGTTTCGGTTAAACATGATCCCCGCCCTAAGAGCTGGTCTCTTTTAGGGAGGAAATAAAGTGCCAGGTACAGTATGTACAGTCCACTAGTTGGGATTGAGCTCATTGGCCAGGTATTTAAGAACACAAAAATAAAGACATGTGAGAGCGAATGGACTGTGTGATAGCACGTCATCATTAATTAGGACCTACTAGAATGTGTGAACTTGAAACTAGAGCAGTAGTTCTTAAATCTTCGAGGTTGTGGAGCCCTTTGAGAAGCTGATAAAATTCTGTGTGTGTACATTTTTTCATTCTACTTCTGGAAGTTTGTGAACTTCCCTGAAATGCCTGTAGATTAGAGACATTCATGATGACAGAGGAGCCAGGTCAGATGTTTATAGGAATGGATAACAGATTGAACAAAGGATCCAGAAACAAGAATACCAGCCATTCATTGATTGGGTTTGAATGGAACAAAAGGTCTCAGCAGGTTGCTTAGATCAGGGTTGCAGTTTGCTAGGTACAGGGTAAGGCCGTGGAGATTCATAGCTCATAGACAGGTGCTCTTGTTTTATTAGTTATGGAACACTCATTGAAAGAGAATGTTCCCTGGATGAATGCAGACTGAGCCATCATTTGGTCATCTGCAACAGTGAGATGAATGGGGCTAGATGAATGCATAGTATTCTAATCACAACGAGGTTGATCTAGTCACAAGTTCATTGTGGCTGGTAAAGGATACCCCAAGAAAGAGCCTGAAATGATCCCAGTTGGTATTTTAAGTAGTTGGCTAAAGTAGAAATTAGGCCTCCAGATGGGAACAGCCTACAAAATGAGGTGTGTGGACCTAACCAAGGAGAACTTGGGAGAGAAACTAGACATGGTGGTCACCCGTCTGCAGACGCTGCTGGCAGTGGGCCGCACGGCTGCCTGGCTGGGCTTCGTCCTCCCCGCCCTGCCCCCGCCGTGCCGCACTGTGTTGCCGGGGTCGAGCCTGGCTTAGGGCTCGGCTAACAGCCGTCCTCTGGGCCCGGGCTTCAGCTGTGCTGTGTCGTCCTGTGCTGTCACAAGCCTCGTGTTTTTGTCGTGTTGGCTTGGGTTCTTGTCTTCGACTCTCTTCTCTCTGGGGGCCTCTGCACTCTCGCTTTGCTGTGCTGTAGAGTTATCCCAGACGCAGAACCAGCCCTCACTCTCACTCTTGTTCTGTTTTTTGGTGTAATGTCTAGCTTTATTTGCAGCTCCTTCAGCAGACTGCCTCCTCTGGGAACCTCAACACCCTGAGCAGCCTCCACCCGATGGGAGGTAAGTGTTTCACTGCTGTGGAGGAGCAGCAGCAGCCACGCCAACCGACGCAGCTAACAACAGTCTTGAGAGTTTTCTACTCTTCATGCAGAAAAAACAAAATTTTTTTCCCACTCATTACATAAACCTGATATAAGATGAACATCCTGGGATTAACTACCTTTTCTCTCGAAGGAGGCTCTTTTAGTTACTGATGTCATATTGCTCTGTAGTTGTCTGCTGCTCCCCACCCCTTTAAGTCTTTAGTAAGAAGAAGTGTTAGTACCTGCAGACTGTCTGCAACCACTTTGATAAGGAGAAAATTGCAGGAATTATTTCCACAATAAAGTGACTTTTCCAGTGGTTCTCAGAAGAAAAGTCTAAGTTGGCTTCTGTGTGTGTGCGGAAGTCAGTGTCTTATACATGTTATTCCTTAGGTAATTACTGTTTTGGGTATTAACACACACCATAAACTTAATTTACAGATACCAGAGCTGTTAACAAAAGGCAGCTCCACAGTCAAACCCGAGTCAGGGACTGGGCCACTCCAAAGCTGCCCAGCCCTGCCCCTCCATCGGTGGGACCCGGCTCGGCAGGTGCATCTGAGGAAGGGCTAGTCTTAGGCGAGGTGCAGTGCGCCACTGGGGAAGCTTGATAGTTTCATTTTTTTTGTCCCAGGGACTCAGGTTGCTGTGTTTTCAGAAAGTTGTTAGATTTTAAGTCTGTGCTGTAGCCTGTTTATTCTCGTTAATTCTCCACCCCTACCCATCTGCCTTCCCATTACCCAGCAAGTCGTTTGCCACGTTCTTGGTGCACATTGCTGGCGCAGTTCAGACTTTTGCTCTCCTTGTACCAGTGTCGCTAGGTTCTACTTGGAGGCCTTTTCTCCAGTGTTTGTTTTCTCTTGTTTTTCTGCTTAACCTGCTTTTCAGGCGGTGGTTTTTCCTTTGTTCTCTCTACTCTTGCAGTTTTCACGTCATTCCTCCATGGTCTTCTGGATCTCTGCTGCATTTTCTGCTTGGTTCACCTCTATTGCAGAGAACAGATCCCCTGTAAAGTACGAGTGAGGGGCTCAGATACAGATTCATTCTCTGCCTTGGGCTTTGGCACTGTTCTCCTCAGTCTGCCTGGCTCCATGGTAGACCACAGAACCCAGCCCTTTTTCTCTGATTTCCTCATTGCCCATCCATTTATTAATGCTCACTCACTTGGGCTGGAATGCTATTGTATTAGACATGTCTTGTTTGAGGAAATGTCAAGTTTCTTAATGAGTTGAGTGGTATCTGAGTCTTTTTGGAGCTCTGTAGTATATTGCCTGTAAGGCTTACACCTAGAACAGTTCCTCTTTGAGATGAGTCTCTGCCCGTCCACACGGTCATTGCCGAAGTGGATATAGAACACTCTTAGCTGCTGGCTGATCGCTTGCTTTGGATGTTGCAGGGTTAAATGCAATGCAGTTGCAGAACCTGGCTGCCCTAGCCGCTGCAGCGAGTGCCGCTCAGAACACACCCAGCGGCACCAGTGCCCTCACCACGTCCAGCAGTCCTCTCAGCGTGCTCACCAGTTCAGGTGAGCATGGGCCGGGGCCGGGGCCGGGGCCGGGCCTGCGGGCCTTGGGCAGAGCCCCACGTGAGGATTTTGTCCTTCTGCAGAACAGTTAACACCCATTTCCAGAGGGGTCAGATCGTGAACAGTAAAGTTTCACATGTCTTCTGAGTTAAGAGCGTGCTCATAGTTCTCAGTTTGTTGCAGTCATCACTTCTGTGTAGCGCAAGAACATGTTACCAGAATCATTAACTGGGGCGAGTGGGGTGGGGGGTGGGAACTGGAAGCCTCCTTACAAAGAGAATGAACAGTTGAGTGATCCAGCTTGTGCTTTGGCGCCTGCTGCCGCGAGAAGGCAGGTGTTGGTCTGAGTCTGACTGGTGGGTGTCTGACAGCAGGGTCCTCACCCAGCTCCAGCAGCAGCAGCTCCGTCAACCCCATCGCCTCCCTCGGAGCCCTGCAGACACTGGCTGGAGCCACGGCAGGCCTCAACGTCAGCTCTTTGGCAGGTGAGGGCCAGTCCCTGGATGCCATCCGGTCGCTCTGTGCAGGTAGCATGTTTTAAACTGCTCTGGTAGGGACACTTAGAGTGAATGATCGGGATGTCCAGTGAAGTTAGAGATGGTCGTGAGGTTTTGAGTCAGACCTGACCCTGTCTGTTAACTATCTGTACCTTAAGACCACCTTTCTAAGGGCATTTTCTCGTCTGTGAAGTGGGACTAGACTACTCTGAGGGTTGTCAACTTAAATGAGAATACAAGTGAAATGCTGAGCACATCACGTAGCAGTGTCTGACACATAGTACACACTCAGTAAATGTTAGTGGCTATCTTGATGATAGGATTTGCCCACATCTGTCATACAGTGTATGGACTCATTTTAGTCCCCAGTCCTGGGACTGTTATTTTACCACATTCCAGTTCTTAGGAGAAAGTGGCAGCGAATCCAGAGAAGAAGTGGGGCAAGTCACGTGTCAGTGGTATCACTTGCGCAGGTTGGAGGATGAGCTGCCTCTGGGTGTGGCAGCTTTAAATGTCCCCTTAGCCATGGGCCCTGGTGAGTGTCCTAAGACCTGACCCATCAGATGGCTGCTGCTTCTCGGGGAGAGGCTGAGGACGAGGTGACAGGGTGTGCTTTGGAGTTTGTCTTTCGCGCCAGTCGAGCCTCTCCCCCAGGGATGGCCGCTTTAAATGGTGGACTGGGCAGCAGCGGCCTCTCCAACGGCTCCGGGAGCACCGTGGAGGCGCTCACACAGGCCTACTCGGGGATCCAGCAGTACGCGGCCGCAGCGCTCCCCACCCTGTACAACCAGAGCCTGTTGGCGCAGCAGAGTATCGGTGCCGCTGGGAGCCAGAAGGAAGGTGAGTGGCGGGACGGGGCCAGGGCGCGGCGGGCACAGCCTCCGCAGCAGTGCCGAAGGGCAGGGCAAAGCCTGGGAGGGCCGTGTAGGGGGTCAGGCCGGCACTGACCTTTGGCATTGCCAAGGGTGCACTGCGAAGCTGGTCTGCGTTTGGAACGCGTTCTGGTCGTGGTCGCATCAGGACCTCTGTGTGCCCTCCTCAAGTGGGGCTGCAGCTTCAGGTGAAGAGACATACCAGCCTGGTTGTGTCTGATAGCGTTTGGCAGTCTGTTTTTGAGAGGACGTCTTCTCTCTCACAAATCTGCTAGAGGATGTCTTCTGTCTAGGTGTCCTCTTTAGCTCTGTCATTTGGCATTTTCCTCACTTTCTCATCTGTGCTTTTCCTAATTGAGGACAAACCGAAGGACGATGAGACAGAGTTACAGCCTGTGGGTTGATGGAGTGGGGAATATGTGCTTTGACACAAACAGTTTTAAATTCAGGAGAGGCTTTCTAAGCAGAAAGAGGCCTGAAAGTGGGCTTTCTAAGCAGGAGGAGGCCTAAATGTGGTTTGTGTGAGTAGAAAATCCTGCCGACATCTCTGTGCTCCTATTTGACGGGTTTTCATAGCCAGGAGCTGGCAAGATCTAAGCGCTTCTGTAGGAAAAGGCAAGCACCCTCTCCTGCTTTGGCCCCAAGGAGTCCCGGTGCAGCGCGTCCTCCCTGCTCGGAGTTGGACATTTACCGCGTGCCCTGGGCTGTGTTGAGAGGGAGCTGTTGGGACTCTGGAGACAGCAGAAGCGTGAGGTGTTCAGTGGCGCTCTGAAGAATAATGCACAGGAAAGCAGAATAGAGGGTGCCAGAAAGATAGCATTTTACATAAAAAGAGGTTTCTCCAAGTTGACGTTTAAGCGCAGACCTTAGGGAAGGAAGGAGCGAGCCATGTGTGTATCTCGAGGAAGGAGAGGAATGGGGCGGAGGGCAGCAAGCGCACAGACCACGAGGCAGCGTGTGCCGTGGCGTCTAACGACAGCAGGGAGGCCGGGGCGGCTGGAGGCTGGCCGGGCTGCAGTGATGATAAAACTCTTCTCTGAATATGTGGTGCATGTATACAGCGGGTGTCACTCAGCCATTAAAGAGGATGAAGCAGTGCCGTTTGCAGCCACAGAGATGGCCCTAGAGATCATCACACCAAGGGAAGGGAGGCACAGAAAGATAAATATGGCACTGCTTACATGTGGAGTCTTCACAAAATGCTACAAATGAACTTATTTACAAAACAGGAGTAGTCACTGATGTAGGAAACAGATATGTTTACAAGGGGGAAGGGGGTGAGGAGGGGTAGGTAGGGTGATTGGGATCGACACAGACACGCCGAGATAACATCGGACAGCTAGCAAGGACTGCCGAGTAGCGCGGGGGACTCTGCTCAGCGCTCTGATGACCGTATGGGAAGAGAGTCTTAAAAAAGAATGGATGTGCACGCATGTATATATCGCTGATTCACTGAGCTGCACAGCAGGAACTAGCACTGCGTTGTAAATCAGTTATACTCCAGCAAAAATACTTTTTAAAACTTTCCTTTGGTTGGGAAGTCCTTGAGGTGAAGAGGAAAACATACTCTGTTTTTGAGCTGAGTTGTTTATCGTATAGTGAAAGTCGCTCAGTTGTGTCCGACTCTCTGTGACCCCGTGGACGATGTAGTCCGTGGAATTCTCCAGGCCAGAGTACTGGAGTGAGTAGTCAGGGGATCTTCCCAGCCCAGGGATCGAGCCCGGGTCTCCCCCACATCGCAGGCAAATTCTTTATCAGCTGAGCCGCAAGCGCGGCCCGAGAACACTGGCGTGGGGAGCCTGTCCCTTCTCCAGCGGATCTGTGCACCGGGGTTCTCCTGCATTGCAGGCGGGCTCTTTACCAGCTGAGTTTTCACTGAAGTCCAGTTTTTTATCATAGGCATGTATTTTAAAAATACATTTTTTCTGAGGCCCAATTTACGTATGGTAAAATTCACCCTTTGCTGAATATAGCTCTGTGAGCCCTGACACGTCACTGCCACCATCGGTGCAGACTACTTCCGTGACCCCTGGAGATTCCCTCAGGTTTTTTCCTAGGCAGTCCCTGCCCCACCTGCCTCTGGCAACTACTGACCTCTTTGCCGGCCCTCTAGTTTCTAGGCGCTCTTTTGAAACCCATTTTACTTATAATCTCTTGCTACTGTTTTTGGCTACAAATGCAAATCTGCCTGCTCCTTCCCAGCATGCCGTCCTCCCACAGGGTCAGATTCTGCCCTCTGTCGGTGAGACAGAGCGTGAGAACGGTGGACAGGAAAGAGGGCAGGAACCTGTGTCAGTGATTGCCCTTCAGCTCCCTGCTTCGTGTTTGGAGAGTCTGTTTAGTTCTCCAGACGAGTTTCTGTGTTGGGGATGCTGAGGGTGTTAACACAGGTGGAGATGGGACTCAGGTGTTACAGGGGGAAGAGTGTGCTTGACCCCAGTACCTTGTCAATCAGTGGGAATTTTGCAGGTCCAGAAGGAGCCAATCTGTTCATCTACCACCTGCCCCAGGAGTTCGGAGACCAGGACCTGCTGCAGATGTTTATGCCCTTTGGGAATGTCGTGTCTGCCAAGGTTTTTATAGACAAGCAGACAAACCTGAGCAAGTGTTTCGGTATGCTGGTGTTTCTTCTGGTGTCGGGAGGGCCAAGTGTTTTTACCAGTGAACCAGAAAGAGAAGGGGCTGATAGCAGGAAGAGCTGAGTTTTTGACTTTGCTTAGCTTTAGTTTAACTTTGCTTTGAGTAGATTACATTACCTCATTTTGAGCCTCAGTTTTTTTTTCATTTCTCTAGTGGGAATGGTGATTTGAACCCACACTGTCGCTCCAGAGGTAAAAATAATGTATGGAAAATGGCTTGGCCAAAAAGTACTTGAGGATACTGTGTAGATGTCAGCTGATACTGTTAGAAACCTGATTTGTTTCATGTGATGTAATTTCAAGAAGTCTTCTTCCTGCTGAGAAAAACTGAGATTTGAAACTCAGCTCATGTAAGAATCCTGTTGCATAAGGAGGACTGAGGCTGTCCTTGCCTCCTCACGCCCCTCACTTGGTTTCCGCTTGGACACACAGGTTTTGTAAGTTACGACAATCCTGTCTCGGCTCAAGCTGCCATCCAGTCCATGAACGGCTTTCAGATCGGCATGAAGCGGCTTAAAGTGCAGCTCAAACGTTCGAAGAATGACAGCAAGCCCTACTGAGCGTGCCCCCCTCTTGGGACTGGAGTGAGCGGGTCTTCTGGTAAGTGGGGGAGGAGCGCCCTTGGTGGTTCGAAGCCCTGAGGCTGCGCTGGCAGCCCTGGACCCTGACCCTGCCACTCCCGCAGCCACAGCGTGCCCTGAAGACTCGGCTGCTGCCTTCTGTGGGGATTGCGCTTCGTTCAGAGGACAAGTTTGTGCTTTGGTTTCCAGTGTTTTACTTTGGAGTTTAGGTGCCATATCCTGAGTTGTTTTTTTTTTTTCCCTTTATTTAAAAGTTTGCTGTGTTTGTAACCAGTGTGTGTTGAGAAGGACCAACATCAAACTGCCCTGGGGGAGGAGGGGAAATGGAGAAACATTAAAAAAGAGGATCAGAATTTGCCCCAAACTATGCCAAGAGAGAGGACGAAGTTAGACGGAAGTGGACCCCCAGAATCTTCCTGAGCACGAGAGTGGGTGACGTGAGAACTGATACCCAAGAGCTTTTGGGGGGCAGAGCAGGTGGGATTGGCTTTGGAGAGGGAGAGTGACTTGGAACCCGGCAGCCCTGGGAGCTGGAGGCTGAAACTCCTCTGTAGCCGCCTTTGGTGGAAAGTCTGCGTTCTTGCCAGCGATTTTTTAGATTCTCATCTAGGATTTCTGCCCCTCTTTCCTAAGGAGGGGCTGACAAGTCTCTGGAAATAAAGCACCTATTAAATTAGCCTGACATGCAAAAAGCAGGGATTTGTCATCCGTTACCCAGCCAGCCAGTGCTGTTGGATTGGCCCTTCCTTCCTGGCTGGTGGCTCTTAGGAAGAAGAAGCCGGTCAGAGAGGTTGTGTTTCGTTTATTTCAACACCGGACCCTTAGACCATGGCCCATGTCTACCAGGTCCCTTTAAAGGTGGCCTCTCGGGAAGCCACTGTCAGGCTTCCTTTTTTGTAATTGACCACAGCAAGGAATGTCACTTCCACCCCAACCACCGTTTTCCCGTGAGGGTAGACCCAAGAAGGGCTTATGGTATCTGGCAGAAGGGAGCACCTCTCCTGAGCAGAGTGATCAAAAGCCGTCGAGTTGGGGGAAGAAGAGCCTGCTTCTCAGTGTACCTGAATCCTAGGGTCCCTTTGAGCTGGTGCTGCATTTCCCGGCGGCCAGCACTCAGTACTTAAAAGGATTAAGCAGTTTGCGTTTGCCTCCTTGGTTGAGACAGCCCGGGCGTGGCATCTTGAGTGGAGGCAGGCCCCTCTTCTGACCACTCCAGCCCTGTGCTCTGCTCTTGGTGACAGAGGAGACGGCAGGACGTTTACAGCCTCCGTGTGGGTTTAGTGTTCATTTACCTCAGTATTACCATGTTCATTTTTGTCCTCCTGCTCACAGTCAGCTCCCTACTGCCTCCCACAGGTCTCACTCTTGCCTGTGACCCACACAGCCTCGGGGCTCTGCCTCTGCTCCAAGAAGCGCTGTTAGTGGGGAGGCCCGGGAAGGACCTGCTGTCGGGAATGTGTCCCTGGGCAGAAGTGGCCCTGTCAGGATATGACCCTTAGCCAAGGCCAGGGACCCAGTGCCTGGGGTCCTCAGACGTCAGAGGACAGACGTCAGCCCTGCCCCCTAGCGGCAGAGGCGCGATCACAGGGGTTGGTTTGCTGTCGGTCAGACGGGGGCGCTCTCCTTGTCACGCTGTCCTCGGGCCTCAGACAAGCATTGACCATCTTGCTGTTGTGCAGATAGTTGGCGGTGGTGGATTATCCCATTGAAGCTGGGACAGCTGTTCCCTTCTCATAGTGATAACTTGGGTCTGTTGTCCTCTAAGAAACATGAAACATACTTCTTAAGCTGAACCACGTAAACTTGAATTCCTCGCACTGGGAGAAATGTGTCCTGTGTTTCAAGGATAAAACTGTTCCAAAGGCTTCCAGGGTCATGATGGGATTTTTTAAATAAATGCAAAAAATAAAAATAAAAAAAAAAGAAAACAAAAAAAGAAAAAAATGCTAGGTTGGGGAGGCGCCGTTCTGAATCCCAACCGGCTGGAACCAAGAATGTCGTTTCTATTTTTATAGAAGTTTTATACAGCTCCGGGGTGGAGAATATTTATTACCTAAATTATATCTCTGGAAAAGGCCAGGATTTTGTAGAATCCAGAATGTGATTGTTGTACACACAGGGTGCTGTGTATGATTGAAACTACTGACTTTCTGTGGCCGTCTGCAGCCCAGCTAACCTGCCTGCGGGGGAGGAGTAAAGCTGTGAATTGGCGGAGGAGAGAGCTGTGCTCCCCAGGTTGCTGCCGGTGCTGTGACCGCTCACCTTCTGTTCTGTCTTCCTCCTTGGCCCACGTGGGGTTTTCCAAAGCCCGGAACTCCACTCTGCGCCCACCTTTGTCCCTTTCCCTCCCTCCTCCCCCATTTCACTGTTAATTGCATACCTGTTTGTCCTGGGCTCCAGGGACCCCTTCGCTATTGGCATGAAAGTTAAAGGTGTAATCAGCCTGCCTCTGATACCAGACCCTGAGGTTTCTATACCTGCTGTGGGTTCTCCTTTCCAAAAGGGGTGTGCACCTCGGTGCAGCCGGGGAGCCCAGGCGCTTCTCCCCCGCGAATTCCCACAGCAGTGCTGCCCTCGAGCACAGTTCTCTCCCCAGGCCAAAGATGGTGGTGTGTAGAAGCTGCTCCCCCTACAAGTCTCACGGCGTCAAAGGGTTCAGCTCGGAGAGGGGGGACTCGCAGTCAAGTCTTAAGCAATCCTTTTCTGTTGTGTGGGGGTTTCACTTACATAAATGTGTTTTCCGCTGTAGTTGTGTTTCTTCCTTGGGTTTCATCATGAAATTGATTTGCCTTGAATGCAGCCAGACGCTGTCTCCTGGGTCCCACAGGAGTGGCCAGGGCCCGCGTGGAAGCTAAGAGCTTGGATTTCCGGCAACAGAGGGCCATCCCCATGGGAAGGGGGAGAAATTCTGGCCCTCTCCCCCAAAGAACTCTACCCACCCCCGCCCCAGCCGGCAGCTCCAGCTGCCTCCCTGAGTCTCGACCGACCAGGAGTGGGACGGGAGGCTGAGGCTCTGCTCCGCCGGAGAGCTGCTTTTCGGATGTGTTTGGGCGCTTCTGGGGAAATCCAAGCCTTAGGTTCCCTCTGTCTCTGGCAGTTGGATGTTTTCCTGGTGTCCTCCATGTCCTTTTTGACTTTCCCCTGTGTCCATTGTTAGCATGTGCGAAAGTCGCGTCATTGCCCAGCCCTCCCTGCCCGCCTCCGCATTTCAGGGCTGCACACAGTGAGTGTTCTGTTCTCTCTCTCTGTTTGGATGTATTGCTCTGTGTAACTCAGTGGGTCTCCCTCTTTCTGGTTTGTTTTTTTTTCTAGATTCCTGCCGTTTGTTCATCGTTGTGCCTAAAGCATGTCGATGTGGCGTCAAGTACATCGTCCAAATCCCTGTCTCTTCAGCTTCTCTGATGCTTGAACTCTCACCTTTGACCTTGTGTTGACCTTTGATGCTGATGTGTATTTTTATTATGTTTGTTTCTTTCTTTGTTTTTTCTTTTTTCTTTCCTTTTTTTTTTCTTTTGTGCTGCCAAATTGGTTTTGCTAGAACGACTGCTGAAGGGGAAATATTTAAACTTGCATTTGAATATAAAAAAATCTATTTTTCTAGAACTTCATAAGATAACCACTTGATTTTGTGATTCCAATCCTTTGTAATTGTCTTCAGAGCAGCCCTACTAGCACATACCGCGTGGTGTTTGTATTTCTGTGGACACACAGCCAGTCCGTTCCTAGGCTTCGTTTCTCTGTGTGCGTAGTTTTAAAGACAACTTTGGAGTAAACAAATAAAAGATGTCGCTAAAACCTTTGAGGCTCCTGAGCACATTTTGCTGATACAGTTTGTAGGGCTTGAGGAGACCGCATGTGTTCCTATTTTTGTTTTTTCTGAGTTCTCAACTGCAGAAAACCCCTGAACCCTTTTTCCTTTTTGACCACCGGCTGCAGCTTGGGCCCCAGGCCAGCCCCCGCGCTCCCGGGGCTCTGCCCTGGAGCGGGAGGTCTGTGGGTCCCCCCTGCCGCCAGCCCCGCTGTGCCCGCCCCCACGCCTGTTCCTGCAGTCTCCACAGCAAAATGTGATACTTTGATTGTTTTTGTTTTTGTATTGTTTTTGTTTTGAATTTTTTCCTTTCCTACTGAGATTATGCCCAGAAAAAACAAGTTCTGCATGTTTCCTGCTGTTTCTTCACACCCTCGTATATATCACCTTCACCTCTCTGTTTTCTATAGTTTGTGCAAAAACTGACCGATTTAAAAGGGTTTCAAAGAAGCTGTTTTGAATTGTTGTGGGTTGATTTTTTTTTTCTTTCCAAGATTGTATTGTTTTATTTTGAAGTGGCAACTTTCTCCTCTATTGCCCTTAGAGCGTTTGCCTGTGCACTTAGACTGTCTCCTCACACGGCCTCCAGGCCTCGGGGGGCCTCCGGGGCCGGCTGCTCTGCTCAGAGACGGGTGGGAAGGGGGTTCCAGAGAGGCGCAGGAGCGAGAGCGCACGCAGAGGGTGGCTGTGGGCAGGCAGGAGGCGGAGGGCGCTCCCAAGCACTCGGAGGAGGGCATGCGTGCGCTCAGCGGCAGCGCTCCTGCCAGCGCTGCTGTGAGAAGCACAGCACTGCAGTCTTCACACTGTTTACAGCCCCGGGCCCCCGCCGCCCCACTCTGCTCTTCACTGGAGCTCTGCTCTTGCTTAGCTGGTGGGGTGGGGGTCAGGGCGGTTTTTTGTGTTTATTTTTTTTAATTGGGTGAAGAGCCAAATAGCTACTGTCCCCGGGTGCCAGGCAAGCCCCGGTCCTTGGTTCCCTGAGGGGAGCCTGCCCTCCTCTCTCGGGGCACCGTCCAGCCTCAGGGTCTGCAGGGACTTGAGTGAGAATGTGCATGGCGAAGGGCGAGGCCAGAGGAGACGTGAGGTCGCGGGGTGGGTCTGTGGAGGTCAGAGGTTGCAGGGGGCGGCGTTTGGGATAGCTTCCACCCAGGCCTGAGCGGCTGGTGGGCGAGCGAGCTGGGAAGTAAGGCTGTCCAGGGAGGGGTGGAGAGGGGGGCCAGGGACGGGGGGTGGGGGGGATGGTAGAAGCACTGTCCGCATCATCCACGCTGCGGGTGATGAGGAAGGGTCTCGGCAGGCTCTCTGCCCCGGGACCGGGCAGGCGGCCTAGTGTTAGCTTGGGGCCCCCCTTACCCGGAGGAGAGGGGGGCCAGGTGGAGGCCCAGGGGATGGTAGGCTGCTTAATTTCTTCAGAGGGGTGAGTGAATGGAAGGAGGCCAGGAACCCCAGCCTGAGCGAGATCGCCACGCACCCCACAGTCTGACTGCACAGAGCGGCCTCTGTGGGCAGAAGGCGCCGAGGCTCCCCTTCCTGTGTTCAGAACCCATGTTTGCCAATACATTTTGCTTTCAATTCCAAGAGGAGCTCTGGGAAAACCTGTGGATAAAACCAAATGCCAAACGTTGGACGTTGTTTTCTTTTCCTTTTCTCTCTCTGATTGTTTTAATTGTTCTGTGGTGGTTTTAATGGATTTGAGACCCTGGAGCGGCAGCTGCCTTTCTGATTTCCAGCTGCTTTTTGTGAATAATTTAAAAAGAAAAAAAAAAAAAGAAACTTTACATTTTGGAGACAAACCTGTGTGAGTTTTTTATTGGTACAAACGTTGTATTTAACACTAGGGGTTTTGTACAGTTTTTTGCCTTTTCTACTAGAAAACAATGTAAAGTGATTTCACAATGTGAAGAGAAAAAATTGCCACTATGACCAAACGCACAGTCTGTTCTGCAGCAACAACGGGATTCAATCAACTCAAAGTCGTGATTCAGCCGTAGAAATGCTTTTTCTTTACCTTGTTTGAGCTTTTCCTTTCTTTCTGTTTTGATTTGCAAAAGAAAATGTCTTTTTTGTGTGAACTTGTGTTGTACTATGTAGAAAATTATGGATTTTACTTTAATGGTTTAAAAAAAAAAAAGGCAAGAAGAGCCCCTGTAGCTTTTCTGACCTGATCACAGAGTTTGTGTAGTGGATTAAAAAAGAAAAAAAAAAATTGTTACAAGTTTGGAGCAAGGGAGTATGTGTTTAACAGGAATCTCCTTCCTTTTTTGTGTGTTTTTCCTTCTGTCCCGACGGGGAACCTAAATCTGTTTTAATTGCACAGACACGCGGACAAAAAGTCATTTTGTATCTGCCAAGTGTGGTACCTTCTTTGTTTATTTGCTATTAAACTGTTTGAGAAGAACTGACGTTGTCTTCTGTGCTATTGATTGTTGAGGCGGTGGCCTTTGGGGTAGCGGGGTTGGCCTTCCTGAGGAAGGGGTGGGCACTCTAGTATGGTTCCACTTTGATGTGCCCTTAGTATCCAGTGGGACCACCCCAGACTCCTGAAAGCACAGGATTTCTTCCAGAAAAGCGACTTCTGTATTGATCCTGCGTTCTTCTCAACGTACCCACTAGCAAGGAGGCACTGAGAAAATTTTGGAGCAGCCTTCATCCCTGTGCTTCTTTACATTGCCAGTCGTGGCCGCCACCCTGCAGGACTGGCCCACACCTGTTGGGTGCAAGTCCCTTCCTTGGCTTCGGGGTTCCTGCCCCCAGGGAGGCAGCCAGCGAGCCCTGAGGTGCTGTGCGTGGGGGCTTCCTCACTCCGGACCAAGGTGCGTGGGCTCCTTTTCCCCTCTCTCTGACCTTAGGACAAGGTCACATTTCTAGGATTTCTTGGGTTCACTACTCAGTAATTCTAGATCACTTTCCGAGTGAGGCCAGTACCGAGGCTTCTCCCCACACCTCTGTAAACTGCGGATTGCAGTCAGCCCCTGGGCCAGGAGCCTCAGGCCCTCTGGCTGAGGCATGAGCTGGTCTGCCCCTTGCTACCACTGTCAGCCTCACTCCTCTGGGAGGCTAGTCCTCGTGAAGCTGGCGCCTGTCTGGGAGCCCACAACCAGCTCTGGCCAGTAGGTGGGCCAAGCCTCAGCCTTCTCATCAGACTGGCTCTATGTGGGGTGGGTCTGGAGTAGCATTTCCCAGAGTGGGTTGTACTGGTTGCTAGCTCACGAGATGTTTATGCAGTAATTGTCCCAGCTAGTGTTCACTGACCACCATCTAGTGCTGCAGGGAACACCTAACACGCACTGAATGCTCTTGTCTTTATAACTCCTGGGAGGGACCTGCTGTTCCCATCCCCACTTAGCAGATGAGCACTGAGGTTAAAAGAAATTGGGTTGTGGACTTTTCTGGTGGTCCTCTGGTTAAGACTCCATTTTTGCACTGCAGGGGTCATGGGTTTGATCCTATGTGCCACATGGCATGGTCCCCAAAATAAAAATAAAATTCTTCACTGAAAAAAAATAAATTGCATTGAGGGGGCGGGAGAAAGCATTCATCTTGGGCCCCCCCCCCCCCCCGCCACAAAAAAGGTAACCAAAGTTACTGTGTGTTTTTTTTTTTTAATGCAGTAGTTTATTTACAGACATCTAGTATGTTGGGATCACAAGTTTGATCCTTTTTTCAAAGAGATTGCACCTCTTAGAACGCTCCCCTTCATATCTGTGTCCTGAATTCCCCACCTGGCCCCAGCCACACTGCACAGCTTTGGGGGTCTTACTTCCCCAACCAGAAATTGAACCCCAGGCGCTCGGCAGTGAAAGGGCAGAGTCCTAACCCCTGGACCACAGGGAATTCCCTCTTGGCTTATATTTTAGGTTGTGAGTGTCTTACTATAAAGGTGCAGCAAATCCAGATACAGGGTACAAAGTCTTCATAGGTAGTAGCTTCCCTTTGTTTTCCCCTGAAAGTGGGAAAATATTCCCACAGACCACAGAGGTTAGGAACCTCCAGACGCTCTGTTCCAACATAGTAGCGCTGTGGAATCTGCGAAAGTCTCAGAGACTGAAGGTGGCAGTGACGGCGGCAGCACACCAAGACCTCCTTTCCCAACGACCTGTTTCCCCCGTGTCCAGAGCACTGCTGTGCTTCATTGAGTCTTTTTGTCCTATGCACGTTTTAGAAATAGACCTGGGATCATACTAAAAAGGAGACCCCGAGTTGTCCCTGGGAAGGGGTGGGCACCGAAGAGTCAGACCAGGTCTGCCTGGCTTGCAGGCCGTCACCCCTGAGGAGAAAGAACTCCGTAAAAGCAACCAAGTGCTTCACTTAACCTGTGCAGTCTCATCGCGTGTGATTGGCGTGCTGTC